AATTAGAACAACTTTGAGAGCATTTCATACTTTGCAGATTTGCAAAAATTCAGAAGTCTGCCATTATCCCATGTTGGCAATATATTAAATTACAGAGTCAGGAAGATCTGGTTGAAGAATTCTAAGCACACTGCTGGGAAGGGGAAAAAAAAAAAACAACGTGAGTCCTAAACATAGAACCCCAAGGCCATTTTGTCCTTGAAGAAATAATGGCAGATTCTTGTTTAAGATTCAGGGAAGGAAGAGTGTGTACATGTTGAAATGGAAAGAGGGATCTTTAGAGGAGAGATTTTCTTCTTATTTTCTTGAGAGTTAAAATTTTTTCCAGCTTTATTGAGATATTACTAACATTTAACATATGTAATTTTAAGGTCTACAACATGATTTGATGCATGCATATATTTTGTGCAATTATTATTACAGTAATGTTAGTCAATACTTCCATCCCCTCACATAATTACCTTTGTGTGTGTGTGTGTGTGTGTGTGTGTGTGGTGATAATTTTTAAGATCGACATTCTTAATAGCTTTCAAGTATATAATAGGTATTGTTAATTAGAATCCCCATGCTGTACATTAGATCCCCAGAACTTATTCATCCTGCAGTTAGAAATTTGTACACTTTGACCACCTTCACACATTTTCCCCAGCCCCTGGCCCTGGCAACCACCATTCTCTCTCTCTTTCTTTGAGTTTGGCTTTTTTAGACCCCCACATGAGTGAGAAACTACAGTCTTTGTCTTTCTCTGCCTGACTTAAGTCATTTGGTATACTGCCCTCCAGGCCCATCCATACTGTCGCAAAAGGCAGAATTTCCTCCTTTTTTATGGTCGAATTACAGTGTACATATGTACCACATTTTCTCTATCCATTCATCTGTTCAAAGATACAAGGTTGTTTCCATGTCTCGGCTATGGTAAATAATGCAGTGAACACGGGAACACAGATATCTCTTGAAGGTAGTGATTCCATTTCTTTTGGATCAATACCCAGAAGTGGTATGGCTGGATCACATGGTAGTTCTATTTTTAATTTTTTGAGGAACCTCCAGACTGTTTTCCATTGTAGCTGCTCCAATTTCCATTCCCACCAACAGCACACAAGTGTCCCCCTTTTTCACAGCCTTGCCAACACTTTGATCTCTTATCTTTTTTTTTTTTTTTAGTAGTCTCCATGCCCAGCATTGAGCCCAAGATGGGACCAAACTCACAACCCTGTATCTCTTATCTTTTTGACAATAGCCATTCTAACAGATGAGAGATGGTATCTCATTGTGGTTTTGATTTGCATTTCCCTGATGATGAGTGCTGTTGAGCACCTTTTCATGAACCTATTGGCCACTTGTATGTCTTCAAAATATTATTCAAGTTCTTTGTCCATTTTTTAATCGAATTCTTTGTAAAATCTTTTACTCTTTGAAACAGTGCACTTGAAGTCTTTTTCTTGGGTTTCTCTATGATTGCTATAATAATAAAATATATATTTCACAAAAAGAGCTCAGAACCAAAATCTACCTATACACTGTTTACAAGATGCACACTTAAAGTGATGCAGAACAATAATAAAATGGAAAAATAAAGAGAGATATGGATCACAGGTAAAGTCAGATCTAACATAAAAACATTAATTGAGGCGAAGATGCTGGATTTTTTTATTAAGGAGAAGCCATCATGAAAATATAGCATTCTGGAACATTTATAGGAATGAATAATGTCACATCAATATATGTGAGGAAACCTGTTTAAATTCCATAGAGAAACTGGAACACAGGAGCATGGGAGCTGCTTTAACTCATTTTTCTTGAGATCTCACAGCTGAAGTAGTCAAAACAGTTTATTGAATAGACACAGAGAGAAATGTGTATATTACAGCATAAACATGATTTCAGATGCAGAGGAACATTTTACCAAAAATGATCATACCCTAAGCCATAATGAAAACCCAATACCAAAAAGATAAAATTCTAGGAATCAGGTTTTCTGACCATGATAACAAAAGGATACGTTAAATAAAGACTCTTCTCCAAATAACTTTAGGTTAAAAAAATAAAATCTCCAGTTCTAGAATATTTATAAAAATATTTATATGATGCAGTTAAAATGCTCCCCACAGGGAAAAAAAATCATAGCTACAGAGCAAGGGTTCTCAACTTCAGCACAATTGACATTTTGGGATACATAATACTTTGGGGGGTGTGTGTGTGTGTGTGTGTGTGTGTGTGTGTGTGTGTGTGTGTGGAGGGGGCATTCTACAGCCTGTAGGTCATTCAGCAGCATCCCTGGCCTCTACCCACTAGATGCTAGTAGCACCACCTCCACACACACACCAGTTGTGAAAGCCAGAAACGTCTCTAGACATGGCCAGGTTCCTCGGCAAATGGTCCCTGTTTGAACCTCTGCCCTAGATACTAATATTATTAGAAAAGAAAATGTGAAAGTATAAAAAATTTTTTTAATTTGAAAGCTACATAAAAAGCCACTGATGATACCTGAGGTCAACATTCATAGAAAAGCAAAATTTAATTCCTAGAAAACTTGTCAAATTGTTTCTTTTTTTTAATATAAGAACTGGTTCTTTGGGTAGATAGTTAAAACATATAAACCTTTGAGAAGGAAAGTTTTCAAAAACAACAGGCATTCACAGTATTACAATTGGAAACTTAACTACAAAAAGCATAGAGCAGGTTAAAAATATGATAATATTATCCTAGGTATATGCTATTAGTGCTAAAATCTGGATGAAATAGACAGTTTAAAAAGTATGTATTTATGTAACTAACTTATATATGTAACTCAAGAAAGTATGGGACCCAAAGTAGCCATGGAAAATATGAAAATCAGTCTTTCAAAAAGCACGTAACACAAATGACAGCATTTGCCAAAGATAACCCCCCCAAAAAATGGAAGTGAAGAGAAACCTATAAAAGAAAGTTCCTCAGAACTGAGGACACACCAGACAAATTCAAACAAATACATATCCAGGCAAGGATGGCGATGTTCGGATCAGACTCCGCTGAATTGAAGGCAAAAGGAAGGTGCTTTATAATAATATTAACATTTAATCCATAATGAAGGCGTAACTGGAGTTTTCCTTTTGCAATAAAAAACAACATCAAAGTCCCCAAACAAAACACTTTAAGTGTTGAAGGAAGATTGTGATGGAAGCAGAAAAGTGGCAGGCAACTTAGATGTGCCAAAAAAGTAAGGAAGGAATCAAAATCATACCACGAGGCTACTAATGGAGCAGGTTAATCTGCACACAAGCTCACCCTGTTCCTGAGGCCTGTGGAGCAGATACAAAGTATAAACATATTTCGGTCCCAAAGGAAACCTTACCACAGTCTCAAAAGTACAAGTGGTACAGATGATGTCCTTTGATCACTTGTGTTACTAGAAATTAGTAGCAAAGGGAAAAGAAACAAACAAAAAATGAACCTCTTACAAATTTCAAAACTTTCTTTTTCCAAAACGTTTTTTAAACAACTCTTGGATGAAAGAAAATAAAAACTGAAATAGAAAATAAACACACAGAAGAGAACACTAATGAAAATCTTTCATGGTGAAGTCTATGAGAAATGTCAAAGTCATGCCCAGAGGCAACTTCGTGGCATTAGACATATTTCTAAACGTAGAGAATGAAAAGAATGAATTAGAAACATGACCAAAATCGGGGTGGGGGGGGCAGAAACAACAGTCACCCATCTTTTAGAATCAGAGGACGTAATTAATAAAGATACAGAAGATTAGATATTAAGGAATCAGAAAACGGAGAAGTGATAAACAAATTTGAAATTTGATTCTTTTGAGGAGGAAAAAACCTCCCACATAATAAAATGGGAAAATCCATGAGCTTGCCTAATGAAGAAAACGTGCGAGGAAAACACAGCTACTCGGCGTCAGAAATAACAAAGGGAAAATAAACACAGGTGCCAAGGCAATAAAAATAATTACAAGAGTATGCAGATTGGTATGCCTCACTCCACAGTGTGTGTGTGTGTGTGTATATATTTAAAATATTTAGGTGAAAAGGACACACTGTTCCACATAGGTGTTTAGTGTGAGCACTGCTTGTATGTAAAAATCAGGAGCTTTCTTATAGTCCCAAAATAACCAGTTAGAAATATCATAGGGAAGATTTAACACGAAAATTACTGACTTAGAGGAAAAGAAGTACATAGCTTTATTAAGAGATTTATTTATTCAGGCGCCTGGGTGGCTCAGTCGTTAAGCGTCTGCCTTCGGCTCAGGTCATGATCTCAGGGTCCTGGGATCGAGCCCCGCATCGGGCTCCCTGCTCGGCGGGAAGCCTGCTTCCCCCTCTCCCACGCCCCCTGCTTGTGTTCCCGCTCTCGCTGTCTCTCTCTCTGTCAAATAAATAAATAAAATCTTTAAAAAAAAAAAAAAAGATTTATTTATTCTATGTATTTTACAAACCCTTACACAATATATGGCTTACTAGGTGCCAGGCACATTTCATCCTAACCAACCCTTGAAGATAGGTTTAATTATTATCTGAATTTTTCCGATGAAGAAACGGGCACAGAGAGGTTAAGTAACTTAGCCAGAGTCACCCAACTTATAAGTAGCTGGACCAGGCTTCAAAACGCGGTCCGCTTTGAGCCTCTGCACTCTTTGCTGTTGGCCCGCACAGTGAGTAAATGAAGAGACACACATGTTCCAGGAGGGAGGATTTGATATCACAAAACCATCAATTCGCTGCTGGCCTGAGCTCTCTGGCAAGGGCTGAGCTGCTGACCGGCTGTCCGGGGTGACTCTCAACAGAAGGCAAACTGTCAAGGAGCTGTAGGCCGCCCCCAGGTGCTCCAGTCTCGCAGGGTCAGAGTAGAAGGGCCACACTCACCCGGGCCTGGGAAAGTACAGCTCACGTGGAGCTGGCCACCCTTCTCCTCGGCACGTCCCTCCTCTGAGTCCTGCCGTGTGTGGACGTGATGGTGGCGGGCAGGTCCTCTCTAACTCACCATGCCCCATTCTCCTCTCTTAGATCCAGGAGATGGTCCACTCGGAAGTTGCCGCCTACGACTCGGGCCGGCCAGGGCCCCTGCTGGGCCGCCCAGCGATGCTGGCCAGCCACATGAGCGCCCTCAGCCAGTCCCAGCTCATCTCTCAGATGGGCATCCGGAGTGGCATCGCCCACAGCTCCCCGTCCCCCCCAGGGAGCAAGTCAGCCACGCCTTCCCCCTCCAGTTCAACTCAGGAGGAGGAATCAGAAGCGCATCTCAAGGTAGGTAGGGCGGCTACGCAGGGCCCTAAGATGCCCTTCCGTCAGCAGGTGCGTGGGCCCTGCGTGGCAACAGGCATCACCCGCGTTGAGACCAGACCGCAAGAGTGCAACTGTGTCCTTTGCTGGAGGACACAGAGGAAGAAAATCAGCAGGTAGAACAGGGCCCACCGGCCGGAGCCCCTGGGCAGTGGAGAAGGCCCTGCTTGGAATTTGGGATTTCTGGCTGCAGCCGCTAAGTTAGCAGCGTCCTTGCCAAGCTGTGTCCGTCCACTCCCACGGCCTGTGTATAAAGCAGAGATGACACTCACCCACGGCCAGGGGCTGGATGAGAGAATCCTGTGAAAACGTGAAGTCTTATTCCTCAATGGCCAGTGGGTCATTTCAGTGACATTGATGGCATCGGCAGGATCCTCAGGGTCACATCTTATGGTCACTTTGGCCTTTTAAGAGAAGATACTCTGACAAAGCTGTGCGGCCCAGCAGAGGACACCTGGGCAGCACCAAAACTGACCCCTCCCCCGGCTGGGTACATGCCCCCCCCCAGCATCCCTAGAGTCATGGGTGATCCTGCCTCTGAAGAACACGTCAGGGCTGAGAGGTCACCAGCTGTCCAGGCTTGTCCTTCTTTCGCACTGACAACTCTCCCTCGCTCCGGAAGGCACCGTGTTTTACTGGGGCAGAAAACAGAGGCCGGAGAGCCCAGGGATGGCCTCGCTCACAGCGACTCTCCCAATGAGCCTGTGGCAGAATCTAAACTTGACCCCCAACTCCCAGCTCCCCTTCTGCTTCCTCAGGGCTCTCACCCCTTTCCACGCGGTGGCCCTGCAGACGCGGGGGGGGGGGCAGTTTGGACCTGGCAGGGGCCCTGACTGCCTGGGCTGGGTGGGTGCCTCCGGGTCTGGTCCGGCTGCATCCCCAAAACAACTTGGTCTCTACAGTAGGCCAAGCAGGAGTAGTTTTTATTTTCTTTTTCATTTAGCAGACACTGTTGGTGCCGAATACTGTTGTAAGCACATCACCAGCATTAACCCATGGGATCCTCATGACGGCCCTGTGTGGTCAGGGCCATTGTCCTCTCCGACTGACAGATGGGAAAACCAAGGCCCCAGAGAGGTTACGTCAGTCTGGCTGCAGAGAGAGGCAGGAACAGGTGCAGCATGGCTACCGGCTTCCCCTCGCTGTCCCTTAGACATGGAGGCCTGAATCTTGCCCAGGGGCCCACGAATTCCCTATCAATTCCTGGTGTCACCCTCATCTGCTTGGTGCAGAAAGTGACCGTCTTCACTGTAGGATCCAGGACCTTTGACCAAATTCCTGGTCCCCGTGGGGCCTGAGGGTCCTACTGGCGACCCACTGAAGTCTGTGGTCGCCTACATGGTTCCCATCCTGCAAGCCCTGAGTCGCACACTCACAGGATTGTGGTCCTGCTTCCAAGGCCAGGTGTCTCGAGTGAGGCCTCACCCACCGAGTCACATAACCTCTTTCCCGTCCAGTCATTTCACAGGGCCCCGGGCACCAAGCCCCCTGCCCCAATTCGCACACCTGGAAGTTGGTGGAAGACACCGATCTTCTGTGACTAAGGATCATCTTTGGGGATTATTTGTGATCACAAGAAGGGAGAATGGTTAAGAAAAATTGATATCCTCAAAACTCGGAAATAGGGCCGTGCACAGGGCTGTGCACGCTTTCAATGGCCAACCGCACGCTGTCTGCAGGCTTGCGTGGGAGTCCCCATATTCTCTAGGAGAACGTACCTTTGTCAGGATTCATTACTCATGACCCATTCAGGGATTCTACACTCTGTAAAGGTACATGTTACCTTGGGAAAGAAGCGGCAGAGAAGTAAACAATTTTTGTCTGATTAAAAGGCAAATTAAGTTCTCCCTGTAGAGATGCAAATGACCTCTGCCCAGGAGAAAAGATTAAAAGCCCCAAAGGTGATCGGTTCATTGCTCTGTAGGGCAGTTTCTCTCATATTTCTTTGAGTCAACTTTGCCACCTTGCTGATTTTCATTCATGAGTTAAACAAAAACTCCAGGGTTCCTAGCTCCTACCCAGCACGTGTGCGTGTGTGCTTGTGAGCGCGCGTGTGCATGTGAGCGTGTGTGTGTGCTTGTGAGCATGTGTGTGCATGTGAGTGCGCGTGTGTGTGCATGTGAGCGTGCATGCGTGTGTGCTTGTGAGTGTGTGTGTGTGTGCATGTGAGCACGCATGTGTGTGTGCACGTGTGTGTGTCCTTTGCCTCCCTCACCAGGGAGCGGTGAGCATGGCAGTGTGGCCCACGTGGCCTGCGCTGGAGTCCAGGGTGGCCCATGCACAGAGCCGGACAGACAGGTGGTGGGAGGAAGATCTGAGGAAGATCCCCTGCGCCTCAGGCAGGGGTGGGGAGCCCGTAGGGGGAGGCCCTTGGCGTCTCTGCTTTCCTGACTCCTCTCACCTGTGCAGATGTCAGGAGAGAAGAGACCTTCAACTGACCCAGGAAAAAAGACCAAGAACCCAAAGAAGAAGAAGAAGAAGGACCCCAACGAGCCGCAGAAGCCTGTGTCAGCCTATGCACTCTTCTTCAGAGACACTCAGGCTGCCATCAAGGGACAGAACCCCAGTGCCACCTTCGGGGATGTGTCCAAAATCGTGGCCTCCATGTGGGACAGCTTGGGAGAGGAGCAGAAGCAGGTGAGTCTGGCCCTTCCAGGGACCTCCCCTTGGGGCGTTGAGGCCCTGGAGCCAATGACAGACTTGGAATGTCTGAAATCAGGAACAGCCTCCTGCGGGGGTGGGGGGTCTCTCCTGGACTCAGTTTGCCCATCTGTAAGCTGGGACGCTAGAGCCCTTCTGGGTCCCCTCTTTGCCAGCAGAGTTCACTAGCGGCTTAACCGTTCTGATTCCTGCTTCCTCTTCTGTTAAGCAAGAATAAGCATCTCTGTCTGTCTTGTCCGTCCAGCCGTGCCAGCCTGGAGTCCAGGCTTCCTCTCCCACTGACCGTGTGCCCCTGGCCCCTCTCAAGGGCGTCCAGGGAGAACAGGGAGCAGAACCAGCTCAGAGGCAAATGCTAGCTACCGGCGGCGGGACCTCCGGCCGATCGCCTGACCTCTCCCCAATGTTGCCCATGTCTTGGATCTTTCAGGCCTACAAGAGAAAGACCGAAGCGGCAAAGAAGGAGTATCTGAAGGCTCTGGCGGCCTACAGGGCTAGCCTCGTCTCCAAGGTAACACCCTGGCCCGTTGGCCCAGCCCTGATAAGGGGGGTGCTGAGGCCCACGGGAATGGTCAGCGCCCTAGTTCCTGGAAAGGATGAATAAGCCCGGTGGGGTCACTTCTCTCGTGCACCTGCTATATGTCACGCTCATGCCGGCACTTTACGTGCATTTCGTTTCACTTCATTCTTCCAGCGAGACCCCGGCATTCAGTAGGGTTGAGCAGCGGGCCTGAAATCCAGAGGAGTGTAGGTGCATTGTCTGGAAGCTGTCACAGAGCACAAGGCATGTGGGTCAGGCCGCAAAGGGCCAAGCAGGGAGGGCGTTCCAAGTTGAGGGAACAGCACGGGCAAAGGCATAGAGGCTGGAGAGGAGCATGGAGGATGGCCTGGCTGGATGAGGCCGGCCTCACAGGCCAGGCTGAGGAGGCTGGGCTTCCTCACAGGCAGGGGAGCCCCAGGAATTAATGCAGGGGGTGGTTGGATGGTCGGAGCCAAGTGCACCGAGGCCCTGGGATTACCTCTGGTTAGCCCGTAGCTCCCCGCCAAGGGGCCAGAGAGCCAGCCACGGACCATGTCAGCGGGTAGCAGACCCAGCGGGTCTCACGGCCCAAGTTCTGGCTTCTCCATCTTCTCCAGAGTGACCGGTGTCTGTCTCCTTGCAGAGCTCTCCAGAGCAGGGTGAGACCAAGGGCACTCAGGCGAACCCGCCGGCCAAAATGCTGCCACCCAAGCAGCCCATGTATGCCATGCCGGGCCTGGCCTCCTTCCTGACGCCGTCGGACCTGCAGGCCTTCCGCAGCGGGGCCTCTCCGGCCAGCCTGGCCCGGACGCTGGGCTCCAAGTCCCTGCTGCCGGGCCTCAGCGCGTCCTCGCCGCCGCCACCCTCCTTCCCGCTCAGCCCCCCACTGCACCAGCAGCTGCCCCTGCCACCCCACGCCCAGGGCGCCCTCCTCAGTCCACCTGTCAGCATGTCTCCAGGCCCCCAGGCTCCGGTCCTGCCCACTCCCATGGCACTGCAGGTGCAACTGGCTATGAGCCCCTCACCTCCAGGGCCTCAGGTAAGCAGTGCCCAGTGGGAACGTGCTCTTCAGGACCCTGGGTGGGGAAGGCAGGCAGCTCGGGGTTTTGGATAGCAGCCCAGGCCCTCACCGGCAGCACCACCTCAGCGCCTTACCTCTCTGAGCCTCAGTCACCACACCCGTGAAATGGGTCTAGTACACCTTCCCTGAGGTGTACTGGCTGCAGCAAACAGTTGACAAGTTCCCAGACAGTCTTCAGAGTCTTAGGATACCCCAGGCTCTCCTTCTCCTATCCTCCATCCAGTTCTGCTCTCTGGCCCGAGGCACTGAGGCCATGCAGCTTCTGCCGGATCAGCCCCGGCCCCCAGCTCTCCCCAAAGCCTTGGAGGCCTGACCCACTGAACATTCCACAGACTCACGTGGCTCAGCACAACAACTCCATTTTGCAGACTGGGAAACTGAGGCCAGAAAAAGAAAGACCCTGAAAGCAGAGCCCTCCACCCCCCAGATGGAGCTAGGAGAAGGGTTGAATTTTCCAAAAGGTGCTCTGCAGGGAAAAGGAAGAAGCATTCCAGGCAGAGAGGCATAGGGGAGGCTTTGTAGAAGCCAGAGGAAGTGTCCCTATGAACTCCCGCGGACACGGAGAGTTCCTGCCCCCTGCTTGCGGCCTGCGCTGTGCATCCCATCATCTCTGCCTTGCTCACCCGCCTCCTTCCCCCTTGGCAGGACTTCCCTCACATCTCCGAGTTCCCCAGTGGTTCAGGCCCCCGCTCACCTGGCCCGTCCAACCCCCCGAGCAGCAGCGGGGACTGGGACAGCAGTTACCCCAGCGCGGAGTGTGGCGTCAGCACGTGCAGGTGGGTCCTCCCCCCCATCTCCGCCGATGCCGCCGGAGCCGAAGAGGGGGCACGGGCCACCCAGGGGTGGGGGGAGGCGAGGCCCTGTGGGTCACGGTGGCCCCGCGACCGTGCCTCATGGGGGCTGGCTGCCCGCCGTCTTCACGAGAAGATGGAGAACAAAGCAAGACCCCGGAAGGACTCAGCCGGTCTGACGCCAGGGCTCTGCTTGGGAAAAGGGCCCAGCTTCAGTCTGGCTCTATCCCTGGTTTTCTCACAAGGGCCGCCTTTTGACACTCACGGATGGGGCCTCTGTCTTCCGTCGGGTTCCCTAGAAGTGGAGGCTGGGTAGCAGGATTTGGGCTCCCTTGATGATGTGGAGGGAGGGCTTGCAGGAGAAAGGGAGGGAGGGAGGGAGGTGGGACAGGGCCAGGGAAGGAGCCGGGGGGAGGGTTGCTCAGCCAGAGACTCGCTTCAGCCTGATTCCACCAGAGCTTGGTGCCCATGCACCGCTGACTGCGTCCCGCCTTGAGGTTAGGGCTTTTTGTTCCCCAGCTCAGTCAGCCACTGGCTGTGGGCTGCCCCCGGGGAGTGTGGCCCCTGGAGGAGGCAGCTCTCATCCAGCCCAGGGCAGCTCTCTGGAGCAGAGGCTTCTGGGAGGGCAGGAAAGGGGACCTGGGGGAGGCACCTGCGGCATCCACCGCACCCTCGGCGGAGGGCCAACGAGCCGACACCAGGAGCCACACACCTTACCGGGACCCCCACTGCTAAAGCCCAGCACCCCCGGACACACCAACCCCCAGGCCACTTGGCTTCTCCGTGGTCCTTATGTGGACCTCAGCCTCCGGGCCTCCCCTCCCATCGTGCTCTCTTAGCCTCTTAGCCTTTCAGTGACATGCTGGCGGCCCTTCCTCTCGAAGGTCTGCCTGCTCCAAAAGTCACTGACCTTTCATTTCAGCAGCCGAAGAGGGAAATGGGGCAGAGAGGGCACCCAATTCCTTTCCCCGCCAATCCTGACTCCCATTCTCCTGGCAAGGACCAATCCCGTGGCCACCCCTGGGGTCTGTAAGCCCCAGCAGCGGCTCCACAGCCTGGAATCCGTGACGTGTGGGGGACAGGCAGCTTCGGCTGCCCCTAGCCCCGGCCGTTGGCCTTTCTGCCCCTCACCAGCCCGCCCGCCAGTGAGCCAGCAGACACGGCACGTGGCCCACGGCTGACGGCCGGTGCCTGGTGCCCGGTGGGCGTCTACCTGTGCAGGTGGACTCGGCTCAGCCGGAATCCCCTTCCCCAACCCCCCGCAGGTGCAGACCCTCCCACCCCACCCTCCTGCCGCAGGCTCCCTTCCCAGTCAGAGTGTGGGGCTGGGGGCTCTTTAATGGACATTATGGAACGTGTCCGAGCTTCCCCCCAACACGGAGGGCAGACCACTGCAGTGCCCTGCCTTACTTATTTTTTTTTTTTTAATGAGGGAGAACTGGCGTATTAGTTGCAGGTGTACGGCATACGCTCTGCAGTAGGCTGGTGTGTGCTGGGGACTGATCACCGCCTGAGTCTAGGCAGCATCTGTGGCCGCTCGCTTACGGACGGTTTCCTTGTCCCGTGATAACTTGTAAGAGCTACTCTCTTAGCAACTTTCAAATACAGAAACTTACAAAAATGCAGTATTATTAACTGTAGTCCCAACGCTGCACATGGCATCCCCGAGGCTTATTCATCTTCTCCCTGGAAGTTTATACTTTTGACCCTTCCCCCATTTTACCCATCCCCCCACCCCTGGCAACCAGCATTCTGTTCTCTGGCTCTGTCAGCTTGGTTTGGGGTTTGCGTAGGTCCCACATGTAAGTGAGATCACCCGATGCTCTCCGCTACTCGTCTTCCTCGGACTTACTTCACTTGGCATGATGGCCTCAAGGCCCCCGTGGCTCTCGATAAGGGAGCGCCCTATTTTAAAAACACAAAAGGCGCCTGCCTTCCTGTGATTCTGTGTGAAGCTTGCAAATGACTAAGCTCGGACCCGGAACCGAGAGCTGGGCAGTGTTGGGACCACCTTCCCGCAGCGCGGAGGCCTGGGGATCACCTGGGGTGATTCCAGGAGGGGATTCCAGGAGGGGAGCTGGGCTGGTGGCTTATGGCCCGACCGTCGGGGAGGGACCCGCGCGCACCTGCTCAGAGGGGCGGCGGGCGCCTCCGGGCTGGGGCTGAAGGGGGCACCTCCAGGGTGGGGCTGAGGCTAGTGAGCAGGTGGCCTGGCGCCGCCCCCAGGCCCAGCTGGGCTCCCAAGGCTCTGACAGCCCTCCTCTCTCCCCAGCCTGCTCCCCAGGGATAAGTCGCTCTACCTCACCTAATCCCGCCTCCCCTGTCCTCCCTGAGGCTTGCTGGAGGGGCACTGCTCAGAGCCTGAAGGGCCCACAGCAGGAGGGAAGCCCGGGCAGGAAGCAGGATGACCGGGAAGAAAGCAGTGACACCAGGACGACGCCCCAGGGCCGAGTCTCCTCCTCGACCTCCCAGCAGACCCTGCACAGGCGGCCCCCCCCCCCCCCCCCCCCCCCCCCCCCCCCGCGGGACCCCCCCCCCCCCCCCCCACCTGCCTGCTCCAGGGCTACTGCGGACCCCGCCCCTCGCCCTGCACTCCGTGCTCCGTGTCTGGACGTCCGGCCCCAGCCCACGCTCCCGGGGCTCCCCCGCCCAGAGGGGCCGCCTTCTGACCGAAACGCACCCCAGAGGCATGGGCCCGGCCGCCTGGCCGAGGACATGCGAATGCGGCTTCACCGAGTGAACACAGATCACCAAACCTCTAAACTGTTGGCTCCATGTAAGTAGTTGCCTAAGTGTTTTAGAACCGTGCTGAAGACGTCGTCGATAAGATGATTTTGTGGGGGAGGGGAGTAGTTTCCTTTAAGGTGAAGAGCATTTTATATGACCCCTTAGCACATATTTTTTTTTTTTTTAAGTTTTCTCTTGGGGATGAGCACAAAAGCGGCTGCCGAACTGTGTTCGTCCCTGTAACAGGGAGAGCGGGACCGCTTAGAGCCACACTTGGAGACGTTGCGCTTTTTTTTCTCGTTTTTAACCCCGTGTCTGTCTATTTAAAATTGCCAACAACGACTTTTGTCTATTTATGAAGCCAAGTTGAGAAGAGAAATGCAGTGTATCATAACGTGTGTGTGATTTTCGGGTTTGGTTTGGGTTTTGGTTCTTAACGTTGTTTGCAGCAGTTTCCTGGCCCTGGCAAGTGTCCGTCCCGGTGCCCAGTGCTTCTCTCAGTTTCTTTATAATAAAACTTCTGAAAAGTTGAAAATCCGTCTGTCTCTTCGTGCCCTTGGCAAGCCGGAGCCAGGCCTTTGGACAAGGCGTTTGGTGGCAGCTCCATGGGCTGACAGAGCCCTTGATGTCAGTGGGCTTGGGGCCCAGGCTCACCTGCCATGTACTCTCCCCAACGATCTGCGCAGACGGCAGGGCCACCCCGGCCTCAGTGTTGTCGCCTCCGGAAGTAGGAGGACGGTGGCACCAACACGCGCCAGTCTGGTGATGAGCAGGGGTTATGGGCACAGAGCACTGGCCATGCAGGGGGCAGGCTCCCCGTCTGGTGGAGGCGAGAGGTGGGTTCAGGGAGCCTGGGGTGGGGGGGCGGGGGGCTTCTCCAAACCTGAATGTAAGGGGCAGCCCAGACAAGGGACTCTAACCCAGGTTTCCTGACAGATGTTAGGTGGTGACACTTACACAAAAAAAATGTAATAAATAATTATGTGACGATTTTAACTGCATCTGGAAAAATAACAGTTCTTGGTATGGAGGAGCTTTGGGGAGCTGCCCCTGCTGGGCCTCGTTACATGGCTGCTTTGGGGTGGGGACCAGTGACCCAGAAGGAGGAGCCTCCCCCTCCCCCGTCCACTCTCAGGGCCTCTCCCTCTGTGATCCTGAAACCTCCCTTCTCCCAGAAAACAGCCCCAGGGCTGGCGCACCATCTCTCTGAGAGCAGTTTCCTCACTGGAGGGCATTTTGTAATCCACTTTGGAAAAGAAAAAAAGAAAACCAGACCAACAACAAAAACAACACGCTGCCCGCAGCATCATTGCTATGTGAAGCATAAATATTTCATGTGGTTACAATTTCCTTTCCTGCTCGGAGCTTGTCAGTAACACAGTGATGACTTAGTTTAATATTCGACTCCTGCTTCGACATGTGAGAAAACAGCATCCTTGGGATCCATGCAGACAACCCAAAATAATGAACGCCAGGCTATCAGGTGTTCGCCTCGGAGCAGAGCCCCCCACCCCGGCCCCCCACTGCTGCACCGGCCTCTGGAGGCGTCTGCGTGCCGAGGCTGGCCTCTCGGTGGCAAGGGGGGCTCCGAGATGCCCAAGCGGAGCCTAAATACCCTGCCTGCAGGTGTCGGGGGTTGTGGCACCCCCAAGCTGCCAAGGCCAGTCTGTGCTCTGGACCCGCCACACTTCGAGGCCACGTGTTGTTGCTTTGACCCTAGAGCCGTGCCCCCGACACTGTAAGGATTGGCAGCCCCTGCAGCCCACCCCACTGTCCACGGAGCCAGCCCTTCCCAGGCCCACGCACCTGCTTCAGATCCCTCCACCCCGCGCCTTCTCCCACAAACACCCTGGAACCGCAGCAGAGGCACGGCCTGAGCAAAGGCCGAGCCTCCGGACCCGGAAGGGGTGGCTGGTCCCAAGATTGTCCAACACTAATTGCTCCCCGGAGGGCCCACAGGAGGTTCCACATTCGATTGGAAGATGGGCAACACGGCACGGAGGGGCCTTCCGTTACTCTTAAGAGTCCACTGTACTGAAATTCCATGTGTTCATCCAGCACGACTACAAACGGGTGAGCAGTTACTCTCTGCCCCAGCCGAGCACCGGTGATGCTGGGGGAGTCTTACACAGATCCCACCCCTAGGAGCTTAAGGGCTAACTGGGGAGGCAGAGAAGGAAAACGGTGATATTGAGTTATAAAATTATAACTTTATATTATAAATCATAAAAATCTAAAATTACACTCTGTGCCAAGTCCGAAAGGGGGAGGGGCCAGGAGAATGCAGTAGAGGGGCGCCCAGCCTAACCAGAGGCCACAAAGTCTTCCAGGGTGAGGCGATGTTGGGACTGTGCCCCGTCCAGTGACTGGGGGTGAGCTGGAGGACTGACCTGGGGTTCTAGGATGCCCTGCTTTTCTGATTTGGGACCCCCAGACGCTGTGGCTCTGTGATTGTGATTCTCATCCAGAATTTTGGGAGAATTCTCTCTGGAAGAAGCTGCGGCTGGGTCCAAACAGCATGCGTGGGGATCTCTAAGTTAGGAACAGAGACAGTTACCCTCAGGTTGAAGGTGAGCCACATGGCAGTGCGTGTTCTCAAACCCTTGACCTCAGCATCCACATCCTGGGTCAGGGCCAGCCCAGGCTCCCTGTGCGCTGGGGGTGGTTGAGGGTGGTGTGTGTCTGGGTTTACCGTGTGGTGCGAGTGTGGGTGTACTGTGCGGTGTGCCAGTGGGTCATGTGCCCGTGTGTCGTGTGTGTGCGATGGGTGAGGTGTGCACGTGGTGTGTTTGCACCTGCACTTGTGTGCATGCATGTGTGTGCTGTGCACCTGTGTCTGCAGCGTGCGTGTCTGTGCGTGGTTTGCGTGGTGCACATAAGATAAATATTATGTGCATGTGGCGTGTCTGTGTAGCTGGTGTGCATGTGGGGGAGGTGATTCAGGTAAAATGAGGCCATTGGGATGGGTCTTCATCCAACTGGACTGGTATCCTTACAACAAGAGGAAATTTGGTCATAGCGGGGCGGCGGGGGGGGGACACGAAGAGCTCTTGTGCACAGAGGAGAGACCACGTGAGGACACGAGGTAAGGCAGCCATGGGCAAGCCAGAGAGAGGAGCCTCAGGTGACCCCAACCCGGCCGACGCTTTGATCTCGGCCTTCCAGACCCCAGAGCGTGAGAGAATGTCTGTTGTGGAAGGCCAAGATCACCTCTTTGCGGGACCTATCTCTAAAGACAGGGACATTCTGAGGTACCGGGGCTTCAGGCTTCTACATGAGTTACCGGGGAGAACCAGTGCAGCCCTGACAGACAGGGTGGCTGGTATTGATTAGAAAGTCTGCAACGAGGGTGAAGTCCAACCACTGGCTCGTGGGCCAGGCCAAAGGAAATCGTCAGTGACCCAGTTCTGGAAGGATTCGCCTGGGTACATAAAGTAGCCAGATCACGCCGCTGGGAGTCAAAACAAGCCACATCTGCCTCCAGCCCACCACCGGCTGTCCCAGGAGACCCACACATCTGGCGCGGGGCCAGCACGCTGGACCGACTCGGAGAACGTTCTGTTCCGGGACGCGTCAGGGGAGAGCGCAGGACAGGGCTGCCTCCCCCATCCCCAGAATGACACCGGCCACAACCATTTGGCATCTCTCTCGGGTGCCTTCCTAAACCTCCAAGCTCCCCTTTGGTTTTTTTCTCTAGATCAGGTTCCAGTCCCTGAAATGTCATTAGCATAAATGGGAGTTGCAAATTCAGATGACCTCAGAGTTGGGCAGGTAACATAAACAAAGGAATGAGACAGATGACGACAGGGCAGGGCGTGGTTGAGTGGGAAGTGTGAGTGGCAAGTGACGACCCTGCCAAAAGGCATTTAAATTCAGCATGCTTTAAAACACTGCGCTGCTGGGGCACCTGGGTGGCTCAGTTGGTTAAGCAACTGCCTTCGGCTCAGGTCATGATCCTGGAGTCCCGGGATTGAGTCCCGCATCGGGCTCCCTGCTCAGCAGGGAGTCTGCTTCTCCCTCTAACCCTCCCCCCTCTCATTCTCTCTCTCTCAAAAATAAATAAAACACCGCGCTGGCCAAAGCAAAACCAGCTTGCCAGCCAGTGGCAACCTCCAGGCATCGAATTTGTGCTTTCCATGGAGGATGTGGCTAAGAGATGGGCTTTGAAGACAGACAGACAGAGCTGGTTTGGAATCTTAAGTTTTCTTATCTGCAAAACACAGTGGTGTTTCAAAATCATAGAGCTGGGGTGTCTGGGTGGCTCATTCGGTTAAGTGTCGGCCTTTGGCTCAGGTCATGATCTCAGGGTCCTGGGATCGAGTCCCATGTCGGGCTCCCTGCTCAGTGGGGAGTCTGCTTCTCCCTCTCCCTCTGCCCCTCACTCCCCTGCTCCAGCTCTCTCTCCCTCTCGCAAATAAATAAAATCTTTAAAAAACAAACAAACAAACAAAAAACAAATCATAGAGCTGGTGTGATGAATATATGAAATAACGCACGTGAAGTGCTCAGTGCAGGGCCCGGCACATAGTAACTGCTTAATTTATAGGAGCTGTTATTATTGTGGTAAGTCAGAGGAGAGCGATGGTGATGAATTTTTTACAAAAGTGGCCTTCCTTCTCAGGAGCGAACTGATGAGACCACTAGTGTGTGGAGCCATCGCGGCCCCCAGTGGTCATATTCGATAACTGCAGAGCAGTGTAGCGGGCCGAAGAAAATGGTTTAGGAGCCAAGTTAGGCTTTGGGGTCAGACAGACAATGGATTTGAATC